TCGGCTCCTAGAACACCTCAACAAAATGGAGTCGTTGAAAGGAAAAATAGGACGTTGCAAGAAATGTCAAGGACCATGTTGAATGAACACAACCTACCTCAATATTTTTGGGGAGAAGCGGTCAACACGGCATGCTACGTTCTTAATCGGGTATTACTTAGACCTATTATTAAAAAGACTCCCTATGAACTTTGGAAAGGTAGAAAACCAAATATTTCCTATTTCAAAGTTTTTGGGTGTAAATGCTATATTTTGAATACCAAGGATCATTTAGGCAAATTTGAGCCTAAATCAAATGAAGGAACTTTCCTTGGTTATTCAACAAATAGTAGAGCCTATAGGGTATATAATAAATCAAATCATAAAGTAGAAGAATCTATGCATGTAAAATTTGATGAAACCGATCCCTTTGGGTCGAGTAAGGTAATTGCAGGTTCAAATGAAGAAGAGGAAGAGGAAATCCTGAAAATTCCTGCGCAAGAAGAAGAAAGTGCAAAGAAGGAAGTACCGAAGGCATACAAACACTTGAAGAATCATCCAAGAGACACTATCATTGGAGATATTGAAAAGGGAGTTAGAACTAGGAACAATTACAATCTTTGTGCACACTATGCATTCGTTAGTCAATTTGAACCTAAGAACGTAGAAGATGCACTAAAAGATAGTGATTGGATTATATCCATGCAACTAGAGCTTGAGCAATTTGAACGCAACAAGGTTTGGGAACTAGTCGAAAGACCGGAAACCCGACCCGTTGTGGGCACTAAATGGGTCTTTAGAAACAAGCTTGATGAAAATGGTCAATAATAGTGATTATTTTCAGCTGAACAACGATTTCCGATATCGGTTCAACTTCCTGAACTGATACTACTTTGAAAACGAGGCCAACGATCCGAACTTAGTTAAGCATACAATAATCGAAAACGTTCACGAGAATTAAAGTTTGAAAAAGTAATGGATGTTAAAAGCGCTTTTCTAAATGGATGGTTAAAAGAAGAAGTTTATGTTGAACAACCTCCCGGTTTTGAAAATCCGGATTTTCCAAATCATGTTTTTAAACTTCATAAGGCCCTTTATGGACTCAAACAAGCTCCTAGAGCTTGGTATGAGCGGCTTACCAAACATCTAATCTCACATGAATTTGCAAAAGGAAAGATCGATTCTACACTTTTTGTCAAAAAAAAGGAAAAGATCTCATAATTGTGCAAATTAATGTTGATGACATTATTTTTGGATCAACCAATGAAGCTTTATGTAATGAATTTTCAGAAATTATGACAAGCAAATTTGAAATGAGCATGATGGGTGAGTTGAACTTTTTTCTTGGACTTCAATTTAAGCAACTTGGAGATGGCATTTTCATTAGTCAAACCAAGTATGCCAAAGAATTAGTCAAGAAGTTCAACCTTGAAGATTCAAAAATATATCCAACTCCAATGAGCACATCCTTGAAGCTTGATAGCGACGAAAGCGGAAAACCCGTAAATGAAAAGGTATATCGAGGTATGATTGGAAGTTTGCTTTATTTAACTGCATCTAGACCCGATATAATGTTTTCCGTTTGCCTTTGTGCACGTTTCCAATCATCACCTAAAGAATCACATTTTAATGCCGTCAAGCGAATAATTCAGTATGTCAAGGGAACGACCAATATGGGGTTATGGTATCCTAAGAATACGAATTTAAGCTTGATAGGTTTTAGTGATGCCGACTTTGGAGGGTGTCGTATTGATCAGAAAAGCACAAGTGGCACATGTCAATTCATTGGTCATGCACTAGTGTCTTGGTCATCTAAGAAACAACACTCCGTTGCCCTATCCACCGCTGAAGCGGAATATATGGCTATGGGTAGTTGTGTTGCTCAAATTTTATGGATGATGCAAACACTAGGTAACTTTAACTTAAAATTTTCAAAAGTGCCTATTTTTTGTGACAATTCAAGTGCAATAAATATTTCCAAAAATCCTGTTTTGCATTCTAGAACTAAACATATAGAAATAATACATCATTTCATACGTGATCATGTTGCAAAGGGAGATATTCAAATTGAATATGTAAATACACTTGAACAACGTGCTGACATTTTTACAAAACCATTAGATGAAAAACAATTTTTACATATTTGTCGGGAAATGGGAATGCTTGAATTAAAGTGAAATTTAAGGTTCTTATTATCCCATTATATCATAAAAATAAATTGATCAAGTCCAAATGCTCAAAACACGCGTCTAGAGGTCGACACAAACCCTTAAGAATGAGGCACGGTACCCCTGACGGGACCCAGTACCGCCCACACGGTAGAGCCTACCGTTACTACGGTACCCGGATGTCGTTTGGACGCAGATACCGCCGGAGGGAATTGGGTTTTGGACGTTACAAGGGTAGCTGGACACGGTAAGGCATACCGTATACACGGTACCAAGGTACTGTTCACACGGTACCGAGGTACCGACCATCTCTGCGGATCAACATACATTAAAAACCCTAAATCGAACCAATTTTCTCAGTTTCGCTCTGCAACTTCCGGCGATTCCTCTCGGCATCTCTCTCCCGTGTTTCGAACCAAGGTAAATTCCTCATCAAAATTCCTCAATTTCTTCAAACACTAGGTTCAATTTCTTCACATACTCTCTTCAATTTGGGTATTTTGTATCAATTTCTCACTTTTTCTCCCAAAATCCTTCCATTCTCAATTTTCTCTCAAAATGAGCGAAATTGTCTCCGATGTTCATGTCGATGCTCAAGAAGGGTTCAAGGCTTACGCCGACCCACATATCATCGAGGGGAGAACCCTTAAACAAAATGACATACCCGTTGCCGTTCTTGAACTCATTCATGAACAAGGATGGACTTTCTTTCTTCAACTCCACGCCCCCGTTTACCCGGAACTTGTTCATCAATTTTATTCCTCATTAAGATACCATAAGCAAGACCCTTCCATTACCGCTGTTGTTGCCGGCAAAACGTTCGGATTCAACACCCAAAACCTTTCCGAGTGGTTCCACCTAGAGCGTCAAGGAGTCTCCTCTTATTGTAAAAAGGGGTGGATTTCTGACTCACAAGACTTCAACGCAGATTTTTGCCTACGTGTTCTCAACAATATTGCTCTTGACCATGTCTTTGAGGACCCAGACTATTTCCTTCGTCGGCCCAACATCCAAGACTTGACCGCAAATCGTTTCATTCTTCTCAAAATCCTCAAGGAAAATGTCATCCCCGTCCTTAACAAAGATAAACAAGTTGGGATTTATGAGTGTACTCTTCTTTACCTCCTCCTCACTCACAAGAAAATCAATCTCTCATCCATCATCATCCAACACATTTACGAGAGCTCGGGTCGCCAAAACAAACCCTATGGCATGCTTCTTACCCACATCTTTGCCAAGAGGGAAATTCTTGAAGTGCGCCCGTCTCGCGTCCGCTATCTTGATGCGGAGTGCCTTGGGTATTGTGGCCTCGTAAAGATCGGAGAGGAATACTACATGAAGAAAGAATTCCAAAAGCTTGATGCGGCGACACGAGCGGAGTATGGCCCTCGACGATCTATGTCATCTTTGCCTTCCACTTCACGAGCACCCCAAGACGAAGCCGAAGAAAATGCCAACACGGAAGTCCCCATTCTTGCTCCTCGGGTCAAACGCTCAAAGTCAGCGTCTCATGCTTCCTCGGCCTCTCTCATGCATCGTCATTCTCACATGGCTTCAACTTCCAAAAATCCCTTCAAGAAGTTCAATAAATTCATCCTCAAGACCGTAGTGGCTCCGATGAAGAAACTTCAGGAAAGCCTCATGACCTCTCGGATCGGATAAAGAAGATGGAGGACCGTGAGAATCGCGAAAAGCAAAATGAGGATCGTGCTTCTAGACGTCGTCACTAAGTGTTGGGCATTTGACAAAATGATCAAACATTCTCTTATTTATGTTTTGAAAAAAATTATTTTGTTTTATGTTTCAAAACTCCTTATCATGTCTTATGTTTAAAACTCGTATTTATGCACTTTTATGATTGAAAATCGCTTTGTTTTGATTGCTTATGGTTTGATGATGTTTGTGGTTCACTTGAATGCCTATGTGTTGAAACTCATGTTTTTGGTACCCCGCCTTTTAGAATGTTGCCAAAAGGGGGAGAAATATTAGGCTTTCATATGCATACATTTAGGGTGAGTTTTTGTCAAAATATCACATGCATCAACTTAGGGCGAGTTTTTAAAATTAATATATGCTTTTCATGATATGCTTGTGCGTTTGATAATTATATTCGAAAGCCTTATTTGTCAACATCAAAAAGGGGGAGATTGTTGGCCTTGAATGCCGTACCCCGTAATCATTTGCAGGATTAAACCAAACGCCAGAACCTCTATTAGCTTGTTTAGCATCACCGAGATATACTCCTACCAGTTTAGAAATTGTTGTGTAAAGGTAATGATATATTTTAATGAGTTACTTATGCCCTTTCACTCAAAATTTAATTTTAAAATGACAAATATATTCTTAGTTGGGGTTATTTTGAAAACGGAACACGAAAAACGAGTTTTGGATTTTTACACAAGCCTAACGGTACCTGGCTACCGTGTACACGGCACCAGGGTACCACCGGTAGCCAAGTGAACGTACCGTTGTACGTTTCACCTGGGTGGTACACGGTACCCCCCTACCGTGACAACGGTACCTGGGTACCGTCGGTAGGCTTGGGAAGGTTGGCCAGACCGTTTGAACCCAGATACCGCCAGAGCAGAACTAATTCTATGACTTACACGGTACCCCCTAATGGTAGGGTGTACCGTTGTCACGGTACCTAGGTACCGGACGGTACGGACCCCTACCGTGAAGGGTACCGGATCCGTTACAGCACTGTAGCAAATTGCAAATTTAAATTCAAATCACCCCTACTCACTTCCTAACGACATTTAAGGTTAAAAACGCATATTTTAACATTCCAAACTCCTATATAAACCCCCTCTAAGTCTCATTTTAATTACAACAACTTCCCAATTAATTCTAAAGCCTCTTTCTCTATTCTTGAGTGTTCTTAAAGCTTTGTTCTTATTTTTACTCTTTTGAGTAAAAAGCTTTTTGTTAGACAATGCGTGCAACTCTAGAGGGGGGGTGAATAGAGTTGTTGAGAATGATTACCGATTTTCGCAGGATAATAATATAATCGTAAGTGCAGCGGAAATAAAAGAGAGAAGGCAAAGAACACACCGATGTATACTGGTTCACCACCTCGTGGCTAGTCCAGTTCCCCGAGAGACTCTCTCGAAGCTACCACTACTTACCAAGCTTCAACGGGTGCTTGACAAACCGTTTACAAACCGAGAACTTGAATCTCACAAGCCTCAACACAACCGCTCGTAGATGTACCCTCTACAAGACTTCACAACCAAGACTTAAGTCACATAAGTCTTGAACAACAAGAAGAACAATCTTTTTCAACCTCTCAGCAATAACTCTCACAAGAGTAGAAATGAGAAAGATTAAGCTCTATGGATGACAAGAACACTCTCTTGAAAACACTCAGTTTTCTCTCAAAATATATTAATTTGAGGAAGAAATGAATGGAGGATTATAACCTCAAGATTGGGGGATTTTAGGAGTGCTTGTTCATTTTAAAAATGACCAATGAGTGAGTTTTATAAAGGGGTTGAAGGAATATATCTGTTGGTCCAGGAAAAGAAGCTGTGCAAGAAAAGATGCAGCGCATTAATCGATTAATGCATCACCATAATCAATTAATGCATCATAAAAAATGGATTAAAGCATCTTCAAAAATCGATTAATGGAGTCTGCGAGGAAAAGGATAATCCATTAAAGGAAGATCAAAACTCGATTAGTCAGCTCTGCCAGTCTTAATCGATTAACATAGGAGCAAAAATCGGTTAATGTTCCAGCCCAGGGTAATCCAACGATAAGCAGTTAATCGATTAATTTTGGAAGATTAATCGATTAATAAGGAAATAATGCGCAAACACAAAGGGCCCAAGACCAATTGCGATTGAGAGCGAATTGGCTCAAACTCGTTGTTTGAGACAAGAAGAATCAGGGAGCGCTCCTCCTCTCTTATTCAATGAATTTGAATAAGGGAGTAAAAGTGAGTCCAAAAATTATTTTGTGTGTCAAATGATGTACACGAAAAATATTTGAATTTTTATAAAAACGAATGGTTTTTATAAAATATTATAGTTTTAAAATATTTGATAAATGTTTGACACACTTTTTGTAACTGACTCAATAAAACTATTTTGAACAGTTAAAAAGATTTTTCAACTGACTCCAAAAATAAATATAATTTTTATTTTGACTCTCATAAAAATAATTTTGGAGAGAAGATATTTTTGTCATCCTACAATAATTCCTAAGACTCAAATAAATAAAAAGTCTTCAGAAAACTTCTACTCCTCCGAGTCCTCCGTTAGGCGCTCCGGACACGTCTCGGACTTCAACAAAATCCTGTGCACCTTCTTGAATACTTCAAGGAATGGCACTTCAAGTCTTCGTATTTGTCGTTGTAGCACTTTAATGTTGACTTGAATAAATTGTGTTTGTCAATTATCAAAACCTGTGAGTCAACACTAAACAACACAGAAAGGGTTGAACTCATGCATTCCAACAATTTCCCCCTTTTTGATAATGACAAACACATGGAGGATATGCTATCAACAAATAACAAAATAAGGCATATACTCCTATACTCTTCCCCCTTTTGGCATTATCAAAAATAATGCAGCAAAAGAACTCATGCATTCTGGGAGAAAAAAAATTTCTAAACAAATAAGAAAAATTACATTTCCCCTAAAATCATGCATTTCTAGAAATAAAATACTTCCCCCTTAAATTATGCTATCTCCCCTTAAAAAAAAGCATACAAAAAGATTAACACATATAGCAAAAAATTCCCCCTTACTATATGCAAACGTCCTATGTATATTCACGAAAAAAAATTCATATAAGTTTCAAAGATAACATTTAATTTAAAAAAAAAGAATTTACTCCCCTTTGATGCAATCTCTTTGGCTAAGTGCTTGGAGCATCCACTACAAATTTGTAGCCTTCCATGTGCGTCACGTACCCGACCACCCATCTTGTTCTTCAAGAGCGATGAGGCAATCGTCTTTGGAAGGTTCATCATACTTCCACGAAAAATACGCGAATTCATCTTGTTTGCTCATCTTCTTGAGCTTCGGGCACTCAAATTTTCGGTGGCCAAGCTTTCCGCACTTGTGACATTTTGGGGTGCTTTTCTTCTTGCTCTTGTTTAGCTCATGTTTCAAAAACTCGTTAAAACATTCAACCAAAATATCATAGGAAGTGCTAGAATCACTATACCTATCACTATCCGAATCTGAATCACCAATCTCTACTTTGTGAGAAGAAGATGCTTTAAAAGAAATTCCCGTTCTCTTCTTAACGTCAAGAGTATGAGAAAGATGATTTGTTTCGTAAGTGATAAGGTTACCTCGATGACCGTCGTATGTGATGACGTTGTAATCTCGGCCTTCGTAAATGGAGTTAACCTTCGACTCCCATTCCTTGGTAAGACTTCACAGAATTTTTCTCACTAACTCTTTGTCGGTGAGTGTCTTTCCAAGCATATCAAGGTCGTTGACGATGTTTGAAAATCTTCCAAACATGTCCTCCACAAGTTCGTTCTCTTTCATAGCAAATAACTCATATTCATGGGTTAGTAAATCAATTTTTGATTCACGAACTTGAGGCGTACCTTCGTATGTGATCATGAGCTTGTTCCACATTTGATTGGCGGTTTGGCAA